TGTTATTTTCACGTGTGAAGATATCAATTTTTCGAAATAGAGAAAAATAGATATTTCATTGGTAATTATATAATAAAAAAAAGTAATTCAACTTTGTCAAGACTTGTTGCACATGCCAACAAGACTGACACTCTTACAGTCCAACTACTGTAACCGGGTCCACTTAGACCGGTTAGACAAGAGAACCAATTAAAATGTAGAATTAATACAATGCATTCAAATTTTGATTAGGGGAGCCAATTAGAAACCTAGAATGCACGAGAACAGTAATTTGACCCTGATGTTACATGTAAACAACTAGATAGCAATCATCATTTTCTTGCGGGAATGAAAATATATGTGTTGAAAGGATATTGCTTTCGGCTGGTTTCTGATTGGCTCCACTACCCTAAGTGGGAATGTACTGTTTTTATTCTACAATTCCATTAGTTCTCGCTGTCTAAGTGGCCCCGGTTATAGTAGTTGCACTGTAACAACTGAGCTAATTCTTTTCTTTGTAGTGCCTGTGGTCCAACAAGCAGTGGTAGTCAACTGCTACAAGCTGTTAGGTCTCATTTACATTTCTCACAGCTGAGTGCATGGCTGAGTAGCAGCAAAGGCATATTACCTTATGAGATCAAATATAGGTAAATATCATGTATCTGACTGGTAGGGAAGAGAATGGGAGGGGAGGGGTGTGAAGAAGTAGGGAAGAGGGTTGGGAAAGGTGGGAATAAAGTAGGAAGAGGGAAGGGGAGGGGTGTGAATAAAGTAAGGGCAAGGGAGGGGTGTGAATGAAGTAGGGAGAGGGGTGGGGAAGGGTGTGAAGGAAGTGGGAAGAGGAGGGGAGGGGAGAGATGTGAATGAAGTAAGGGCAGAGCAGGGGTGTGAATGAAGTAAGGGCAAGGGAGGGGTGTGAATGAAGTAGGGAGAGGGGTGGGGAAGGGTGTGAATAAAGTGGGAAGAGGGAAGGGGAGGGATGTGAATGAAGTAAGGGCAAAGGAGGGACGTGAATGAACTAGGGGAGGGGAAGTATGTATGAAGTAGGGGAGGGGAGGGAACTGAATGAACAAGGGGAGGGAAGGGCTCCCAACACTTCAAACCAAAGAAACCAACAATCAACTCTACTTACAACCTTTCAAAAAGTAACCCTAATTTTATCCTTTTCTGACTCGCTAGGATAAACGAACAAGCCGAACATCAATCCTATACATTTTCCCGCGAACCAACAGAACATGTCTTCCCTTTAGCAAGTTTACCAAGTCCATATTCACTTCAAGTTCAAGTCAAATCCTTACCACGATGTAGCATACAGGAACTGTTGAAAGAATCACAAGTCGTCGAAGAAATATTTTGTAATAATTCCAGCGATTTTAGTTTATTGAGAAGCGAACCATCTTCTTCTTCTTCTTCTTCGTGGTTTAGTGACACCAGGTCGCCATTACGGAAAAGAACTTGTTTGAACAAAGCTGAAAATGGTCAAGTTTTTGTCGCCAAAGAAAAAGCAACAGAGGTCTTGTCTTCGGACAGTCAAACGAGACAAAGAAGCTACAAAACTATCAATTTAGGAAAGGATTTTTTAAAATTAGAGAGCGATGGAGATTGGAAGAGAGCTTGTTTGAACGAAGCTGGAAATGGTCAAGTTTTCGTTTGCAAAGAAAAGGAAACAGAGACTTTGTTTTCGGAAAGTCAAGCAAAATCTTCTACTTGCACATCACGGAGAAGCGACAAAGCTATCAATTTAGAAAAAGAGTTTTTAAAATTAGCGACAAGTTGTGATTTGAAACCTTGTAAGTCGACGGAAAATCTTCAAGAAGAATCGCAAATCGGAAAAGATAGTGAATTTTTGAATTTAGGCGCGACGCCTTCAAATTATGAACCAATTATGGATTCAAATGGAACTTCGAATGGAATTTCTAATTTGAGTGAAAGAATAAAGAAACTTGGAAGAGATATTGCGAATATAGACCGGAATGTCAATACGCATGCGTACCAGAGCGAACAACGGATTTCAGGTTTGAGTGCGTTGTTAAAAGAAGCAAGTAAAGAATGTACTGCGGAAATGAAAACAGATGTCTCTGGTGCGAGAGAAAAGGAGAAGAGGACGTCACGTGAGGTGGCAAAGATGGTTCTGCAGAGAAAATGTAGAAGTCTGAGTGATAGAGGAGTTCGAGTGGAGAGTCTTCGTAACAGAGAACCAATACAAAAAGAGGTAATTTTGTTGTTTTTTGGTGGGAGGGGGTGGGGGGATTATTTTGGTACATCGTTTGTGCTGAAGAAATAGAAAACGCGCGCGCGTATGCTGTGTGCTGTCATAAAGCACGCGGGGGTTAGCAGAACAGAAGTGTTAGGAGAAGCACGACGCGTAGCGGAGTGCTTCTGGACATTCTCGAGTGTTTTGCCAATCCCCAAGTGCTTTATGACTGCACACAGCAAAGCAAGCAAGTTTTTCATTTCTCTTATAAAATACAAATTATAATGATAGATAGGAATGACGCAACGGAAAGTGCGCGCGCGTGCAATGTGCTCTCATAAAGCACGCGCTCCAAACCAATCAGAACGCGACATTCATAACAGCTATTTTATAATTCACTTTAGAAGGTCAGAGCGGATTTTCAAAAAAACCTTAACGGCCTCGAATGGAATTTGATCGCACTGCGCCATGTTTATAGATCCCTTGCATGTGACGTCAAAGCAGCTCAATTTGGAGGACAAAACAAAAGAATTTCAATCTCCTGAGAATTGGAAACCTCTTGTTAAGTCCTCCAATAGACCCATTAACCTTCGTATGCAAATTGCCCATTCCAGATCACATGAAATTCCCTTGAGAATTATTCTTTTATGACGAACATGTTAAAATATTTACACTAGAAAAAACCAACTCCCAAGAGTGGCATCATATGGTCTGCAATGTGCACAACAAACAACGAAGCTAAAGAGGTCTATTTGAGCTGCACTCCGACGTACTGCAAGGGGTCTATTCCCATAAGAATACAATCCTTTGTTTAACCCCGAGTAACCTCATCCTGTAGCGCTTGAATGCGAGGCTAAGCCGAAAAATCTATTTTTCCAGTCAACATGGCTGCCGCGTAAAAAAGGGCCATCCACTGACGTTTTACTTAGCAAACGCCGAGCGAGAATAATTAATCTATGAACCCCTGGGTAAGGTACAAACAGCGACTACAGCAAATATGGAGCAAATGAACTACTTCGGCGATACAGCGTCCGTCTTGCCTGAAGGCAAAACAAAACAAAGATAACAGAAAAAATATATAGTTTCGTGTGTTTGTCTTCCTTTTATGTGCCAAGGTGATTTATGTGCCATCTTAATTTATCTTTTTTTGTATTCTCTTATGGTGAGCTATTAATATCAATCGACTTCATTACTGTAACAAAGCTATATCCCCCCCCACACACACACATCCCCTGGATGCTCCATAATGCCTTGCAAACCAAGATGGCCGCCTTGTCGTTGAAGAAGTCCATTGTCTATACACAGAAACCTCGTTCGGATTTTTAAGGGGACCGGAAATGGCGTCCGCTCATAACAAAGATAGACCTTTTTCTCAAGGTTGCGCGATCCAAATTTAATGAACTTGACGGGCCACGATACCAGAACATGAGCTTTATAATGAGAATTTTCATACATTTCTAGGAGATTTTTCGATAACAATTCATAAAATCGACTATTCTCTTTAAATGTAAAACTGGCTTCTCAATTTTACTGAATTTGCGTTTTTCAGTTTTGTGGCCCGTCAAGATTGGATGCACAGACAAACTTGAGAATACGGTCTATATCAATATACATTATTGAATGGCACACTTCTATCGGATCTAAATTTCAGCACACGTGGTTGATATTTGATTAGCTGTCATGCATACACGTGATGTCCACGTGCAATCCACGTGCTGTCCACGTGAAGTATATAGTTTTGTACAAAACCGTAAGGCCCTGGCTAAACGAGGAAACATATTTCCAGAAACATGTTTTCTTAAATGTTTCCAAAGGTGGCAAAACTGTCAGGAAACATCGGGAAACATGTTTACTCAATATCGGTAAGCGCATGCGCACAGAGCTAGCGTTACTAAGTAACGTGGAACTTTTAGAATGTTGAATTTCGTGGCTAAACGGGGAAACATTGCTTCCATGCGTCTTGGAAGCATGAAATGTTTCTGCCGCACAGCAGAAACATTTTAGCGTCTTGGAAGCAAAATTTGTTGCACGTAGCAATGTTTCGCATGTGGCTAAACTTGGAGTCATCGGGGAACATGTGCGCGGGAAACATGTTTCTGGAAACTTGTTACCTCGATTGGCCAGGGCCTAAATCCATGAAAAAGCTATGTGGAAGGAATCCTGGTGCTAGTAACTAGTTCATTTGTATTTTCAGGCATCTAGAAACACAGCAGAAGATAGAGTTTGTAATAAAGCTAAACAATCGCCGACAAGGCAAGGAACGACTTCCAATTCCAGTGACGTTGATATCCATGCTATCAGACAACCTGTAAACAGAGACTGCACTTACAGGCGGTCAGTTCAACTACCATTCAGCGCATGCACAGAACCTGTATTCAATCCCAAGACTGGGTTACCTGTTTCATCAAGTCCGGTGCGTAAAATGTTTGCGTTTTCTCCTTTCCTCTCCATTCCACTCCGCTTGTCTGCATTCGTCTGCTCTGCTCTGCTCTGCTCTGCTCTACTCTGCTCTGCTCTGCTCTGCTCTGCTCTGCTCTG